GTCAGTGGACTGAACTACTTTAACTTTTTATTCTAAAGTCATTTTAGACATATAGGAAAGTTACAAACACAGCAGAATTCACCTATACCCTTGACCCGGCTTCCCTTATTAACAATTTACCTAGCTCTAGCATAACACCAAAGCCAGGAAATTAACATTAGTACAACACTATTAATTAAACTGCGCAACTAATTTGAATTTCACCTGTTCCCCCTCAATGTCCCTTTTCTTTTCCGGAATCTAATCCAGGATCCCACACTGCATTTAACTGTGTCTCTTCCAGTCTATGACAGTTCCACATTCTTTCCCAGTATAGTCAATTGAAGCTGGGTAGGGTGGCTTATGCCTGTAACCCCAGCACTTTGGGAGGTTGAGGAGGACGAATTACTTGAGCTCACGAGTTTAAGACCAGCCTCGGCAACATGGCAAAACCCCATCTCTACAAAAAATTAGACAGGCATGGTGGCTCATGCCTCTAGTTACAAGCTACTTGGGAGGCTAAGGTAGGAGAATTGCTTGAGTCCAGGAGGTAGAGATTGCAGTAAACCCAGACTGTCTGCCACACAGCACTCCAGCCTCGTGACAGAGTGTAACTCTGTCTCGAAAAAAATTTTTTAAAGCTATTTCCTTGTATTTTCTTTTTTTATTCCAGTAGATTCTCCTATATGCCTTGTTTTAATATAAACAGGAATTTAGCTTTCTTTTACCAGATCATGGGGGGGGGGGAAATCATATGCAAAAGTGAGAAAGAGTTGTACTCTGTTGAGCTGAATGAAATCTTCAGACAGCTATCACCACTGCAAAAAGATATCAAGATAAAATTGCTATATTAACTTTCATAGTTTTTTTTTGTTTTTTTGAGACAGGGTCTGGCTTTGTCGCCTAGGCTGGAGTGCAGTGGCACAGTCTCAGCTCACTGCAACGTCTGTCCCCAGGCTCAAGCAATCTTCCCACCTCAGCCTCCTGAGTAGCTGGGATTACAGACATGCACCATCACACCCAGCAAATTTTTGTATTTTTAGTTGAGCAGGGTTTCACCATGTTGCCTAGGCTGATCTCGAACTCCCGAGCTCAAGCAATCCACCCATTTCAGCCTCCAAAGTGTTGGGATTATAGGTGTGAGCCACTGTGCCTGGTCTAACATTTCTTATTCTCTCTATTCTGAATGACCCCCATTACTCATATGAATTCTTCCAGAAAGAATAGTGAGTTTAATTAATGTTTAATGAATGTCACTCTGCTTTCTTTCTCCTCAGACTAAAGCTACACAATTCCAGTAGCAGGATCCCCTTTCTTAGGTAATTGAAGTTAGGAAAAGAAGTTGTAAATGCTAATGCTATGGTTCTATCTGGATCGAATAGTAACACTGCAGGCCTTATTCTCATCACCAGAGATTAAGCTGGGTAGTGACTATCTGACATCATAGGTTAAATTTAGCTAACTTAAAAGGCTTGCTGGTACTTAAGACTTTAAAATATTAAGGCCAGGTATCTGGCTCAAACCTGTAATCCCAGCACTTTGGGAGGCCGAGGTAGGTGGATCACCTGAGGTCAGAAGTTTGAAACCACCCTGACCAACAAGGTGAAACCCTGTCTCGAAGAAGGAAGAAAAGGAAGAAGAAGAAGAGGAAGAAAAAGAAGAAGAAAGAAAAAGAAAGAAGAAGAAAGAAAAAGAAAGAAGAAGACTTTAAAATAGTAATAGTTTTACAATGTCCTGGATGTTAATTCCAGTGCATTTGTGGTATCTCTTGTATTTTATATATATCAAAGGATTGAATAAATAGTTTGTAATTACTTTCTTTTTTTTTTTCCTCAGAGTCTTCCTCTGTTGCCCAGGATGGAGTATAGTGGCATAATCTCAGCTCACTGCAGCCTCTACCTCTCAGATTAAAGCAATTCTCCTGCCTCAGCCTCCCAAGTACCTGGGACCACAGGCACGTGCCACAATACAAAATACAACAATTTTTGTATTTTGAATAGAGACAGGGTTTCGCCATGCTGGCCAGGCTTGTCTTGAACCCCTGACCTCAAGTGATCTGCTGGCCTTGGCCTCCTAAAGTGCTGGGATTACAAGTATAAAGTACCACACCCAGCCTGTAATTACTTTCTATCATTTAAATCACATGGTTGACTGGGCGGGGTGGCTCATGCCTGTAATCCCAGCACTTTGGGAGGCCCAGGCCGGGAGATCACGAGGTCAAGAGATCGAGACCATCCTGATCAACATGGTGAAACCCCGTCTCTACTAAAAATACAAAAATTAGCTGGGCATGGTGGTGAGCACCTGTAGTCCCAGCTACTCGGGAGGCTGAGGCAGGAGAATTGCTTGAATCCAGAAGGCGGAGGTTGCGGTGAGCCGAGATCGTGCCATTGCACTCCAGTCTGGGTAACAGTGAAACTCTGTCTCAAAAAAAAAAAAGAAAGAAAGAAATCAAGACCATCATGGCCAACATAGTGAAAACGCATCTCTACTAAAATTTCAAAAAAAAACTGACCGGGCCTATAGTCCCAGCTACAGGGAGGCTGAGGCAGGGGTTCCGTCGCTTGAACCCAGAAGGCCAAGGTTGCAGTGAGCCGAGATAGCGCCAGTGCGCTCCAGACAGGGGACAGAGCAAGACTCTATCTCAAAAAAAAAAAAAATCAGATGGTTATAAAGAGTCACCTTTGCTCCAGTTCCCAACAAGTTCCTCATCTCCATCTGATACCACCTCAGCCCAGAACTTCTTATTCACACCACTATCAGCATTTTTGTCAAAGCCATTCAACAAATCTCTAAAAAGTTCCAAACTTTCCCACTTTTTTTTTTTTTTTGACATGGAGCCTCGCTCTGTCACCCAGGTTGGAGTGCGGTGGCTTGATATCCTCTCACTGCAACTTCTGCCTCCCGGGCTCACTGCTTCCTCTGCCCCCGGGTTCAAGCAATTCTCCAGCCTCAGCCTCCTGAGTAGCTGGGATTACAGGTGTGCACCACCACGCCCAGATAATTTTTGTATTTTTAGTAAGGATGGGATTTCACCATGTTGGCCAGGCTGGTCTCGAACCCCTGACTTCGTGATCCACCCACCTTGGCTTCCCAATGTGCTGGGATTACAGATATGAGCCACCTCACCTGGCCACTTTCCCACATTTTCCTATCTTCTTCTGAACCCTCCAAACTGCTCCAACTCAGTTCCAAAGTCACTTTCACGTTTTCATATATCTTTTCGGTAACACCCCACTCTACTGGTACCAATTTACTGTATTAGTCCATTTACACGGGGCTGATAAAGACACACCCAAGACTGAGGAAGAGGTCTAACTGGACTTACAGTTCCATTTGGCTGGGGAGGCCTCAGAATCAAGGCAGAGGGTGAAAAGCATTCCCTCCATGGCGATGACAAGAGACAAGGAGGAGAAGCAAAAGCGGAAACTCCTGATAAACCTATGAGATCTCGGGAGACTTATTTATTATCACGAGAATAGCAAAGGAAAGACCGGCTCCCATGATTCAATTAACTCCACGTGGGTCCCTCCCACAATATAGGGGAATTCTGGGAGATACAATTCAAGTTGAGATCTGGGTGGGAACACGACATACCTATCAATCCCTAACAACTGTGCTCAGCTAGTTACTGAAATTAAAGTCTAGTTTTGCCCCCCAGGTCTGTTCCCACTTCCTGGCTCCCGACTTTCTCAGCTCAGTAAAGACGCAGGTCATCTCCTCAAGCTGGAAAGCAGAAGTTATCTTTGATTCCTCCGTTTCCTTCACTGCCCAAACCAGCAAATTCTGCCAAATCCCTCCCCATTCTCTATCCCCAGTGCAGCCTAGGTGGTATCCCCAATACCACTCTCTCAGCCTCTGTGCTCACACACACAGTCCCCCAAATGCACCCTCCACTCAGCAACAAAAGGGATCTTAAATGCACACATCAGTTCATGCATTTAGTTAAAACCACTGAACAAGCCGAGCGCGGTGGCTCACGCCTGTAATCCCAGCGCTTTGGGAGGCCGAGGCAGGTGGATCACAAGGTCAAGAGATCGAGACCATCCTGGTCAACATGGTAAAACCCTGTTTCTACTAAAAATACAAAAAATTAGCTGGGCATGGTGGCGTGTGCCTGTAATCCCAGCTACTCAGGATGCTGAGGCAGGAGAATTGACTGAACCCAGGAGGTGGAGGTTGTGGTGAGCCGAGATCGCGCCATTGCACTCCAGCCTGGGTAACAAAAGCAAAACTCCGTCTCAAAAAAAACCACTTTTTCTCACTTGGAGAAACAGAGCCCTCACCATGTCTTTCGAATGCTTCCTATCTAGCTCTAAAACTGCGTGCTGAGCCACTCTCTCACTCCCGTCTTATTTGCTCCAACTCTTTTTACGAAAAACTCATTTGAAGTCTCCAAAGCCAATGAGAAATAAATCTGTACTCTCTTCTGTCTCAGATCATGCACAGCACTGCCCCTCTCCTTTGCCATGGACTCAGCATGATTATGATTATAAAATGATTAGGCTGCAGTGATCTCGAAGCTGGGAGCCTAGCTTCCTCCCTACTTACCCCACATCCACACCTCTGTACATATTTCCATTCACTGGAAACACATCCTAAATTCCCCCAAATAATCTGCAACGTCATTTCTAGAATGGAAAAGAATCACGTCCTAGAACAAAAACAAATACTGAAACATAATAGAAGACACAAGGAGATAAGCATGAGCTTTTCACCTTCCTTCCTGCCATTTATACCTCGTCCTCTCAAAAAAGGCCAAAAGGCCCATGGTAGAAAGTCTACGACAATGCAAGTTTTTTAAATGAGTAAGTTAACATGAGATGAGAAAAGATCTTATTTAGACTCTTGCACCTAGAAGACAGTCAGAATGTTGGACCCACATAAGTATTTATTGATTTATGATGACAGAAAGTTATGTATCAGCTCAAATGGGCTCACGAGTCAATATTTGTAATTTAATAGGAAGTACTGGAGTCAGATTCCCCGCCCTTGAAAATACCAAAGTATCTACTACTTACTGGCATCATCCATGAACTCAAAGTCACCGCCCAGTTCAGAACTTGAAAAGCGATACTGATCCGGGTCAGCCAGGGCACTCAGTAAAATCAACAGTACCACGGCATTGATGATCTGCAATAAGAAAAAGAGAATGTAAGTAACTCCAGGATGCGGTCCTTATCAAAGAAAACTATGCTGACCACATAGTCGGGTCGGTGCCAGGCAACATCCTCGGTGGCTTGACTCTCAAGCCCCACCCATGGAGGGAGCAGACAGACATTCCCAAGGCAGAAATCCTGCCAGCCCATTCAGTTGCAGCCAGGTGCACAAGGCTTGGAGTGAAGACAACAGCGGGATTTCACCTCGTTCTCCCCTGGCCCAGGCACCACAGAGCAGGGAACACATACACACACAGGCAGCAGCCCTGGTGCCCATGGTTGGAAAAAGCACAAAAACTTTCCAGTTAGTCAACTATGATCTGGAGCTAAAGGTGAGTAACCCCCAAGTTGTCTCAGTTCATCAAACATTTTTCACAGGTTCGAACCAGTGGAGCTTTGGGAGCTTTGAAGCCATCTAGGAAGCAGTTTCAGAGAATGAATGCAAAGCTAAATAGTGGATCCAGCATCATCACTCCTGCAACAGCCCAAGTAATTCCCTTTCCAGGCCAGGCCAGCAGTCCTGTCTTCTGGATACTGCCCTTGGCTGCTTCAAACTCAGCTCCTCCAAACGAAAATCGTCTTCTTTAACATCTCTTACCTCTGCTCCTCCTTGTTTGTTCTCTAGCTTAAAAAGTGGCCTTGCTATTAATAATTAATAAAAAACACTCAGGCACTAAGCTAAGTGCTTTATGTGGAATTTCTCTAAAGCCCGGAAATAACCTAATGAAGTGGGTACTAAATTATTCCCATTTATACACAGCAAACTGAGGCTCAGAGGTTAAAAAACGCTGCCCAGGAACAAACAGCTACGAAGCTGTAGAGATGGGATCTGAATCCAGGAATCTAGTTCCAAAGCCTAATCTCTACAAGCCTACCGTCCATACATGAAACTTCATCATCTGAGTTTACCATCTTTATGCTGCACACAAAACCAACTGCAAAACACTGACCATTCTACCTCTTCATTTCTATTTCCTTTATTCTTCCTAACTGTCATTGCTGAATAATACACAGCATATCAACTTTGATGGGGCTGGGGTAGCAAGGATCACAGAGTTTAAGTGAGGCATCAGCTAAGAGCGGGTTATTGTTTGTTAAGAGACAAGGTGTTGGCCAGGCGTGGTGGCTCACACCTGTAATCCCAGCACTTTAGGAGGCTGAGGCAGGTGGATCACGAGGTTAGGAGTTCAAGACCAGACTGGCCAAGATACAGAAACCCTGTCTCTACTAAAAAAAAAATACAAAAATTAGCCTGGTGTGGTGGCACATGCCTATAGTCCCAGCTGCGGGAAGCTGAAGCAGGAAAATTGCTTGAACCTGGTAGGCAGAGGTTGCAGTGAGCTGAGACCATGCCATTTCACCCCAGCCTGGGTGACAGAGTGAGACTCCATCTCAAAAACAAACAAAAAAAACAGGAAGACTCCCCTCTACTCTCAGCACAGACGGTACACTCCTTAGTATGGCATCCCCTGCCCTCATGGCAGGGCCACATCCAGCTCTCCAGCCGCACACTCTGCAAGGCCACCTAGACCCCCACCTCCCTCAATCCTCCATGACTGGGTTCGGATCCCTGTTTCCCCTGGCTAGACCTGGCATGCCATCTTGCTGGAAGCTGTCTAATGCCTGCTTGTTTTTAACACTCAGGCTGGGGCCCCCGGGAGCGTTTGCTGCCTCCTGGACCCTGTTGCGCCAGCTGAGCGTGGACTCTTTCTCTAGGTCTTTCCTCCCAGGACCCTGTACATTTATCCCATCGTTCTCTCCCACACAGCCAGCTCTCATCCCTTTTCAGGTCTCAGAAAAGACTCAGTGAACAAAACTCATTGAGTCTGATTTAGTGTGGCAGTGCCCCTAAGAGTTCTGTTCTCCTTAAGTGTTCTGCGCCCGGCTCACTGTCGGCCTGGCATCCAGCGGGCCATTTGGAGGAACGAATGATGAATGAATGATTTGCCCAACCCTTCCAGAACTAGGCTGGAGGTCGTGGTTAGGGCCCATCCCTACGCAGGACAAGGACCCCGGGTGGCACTACTCTCACTACGTCGGCAGGGGGCGCTGCACAGATGCGGAGCGGAGCGGCTGAGAAGAGGGGCGTCGGGCAGAGGCCCGGGGCCCCAGGGTGGTGGACGCCGTGTCCCGCCCGCCTGTGGACCCCACGCAGTAACTGCGAAAATGTCGCTTTCACTTTGGGCGGAGCTGGAGGTGGCTGGGCCGTCCCAAAACGGCTGCAGCCGGGCACCCCTGGAGTTAATCCGAAAGCTCCGCAAGCCCCGCGGGCCCGCCGGGCAGCACGTGTCGCCAAGAAGCAGATGTAGAGAGAGACAGAGAGAGAAAGAAAGCAGGAGACCAGAGTCCCGGGAAAGTCCTGCCGCGCCTCCAGACAGCTGTAAAATGGTGGCCACCTGGGTCAGCCTTGCAGCCACCGCCCTCACCTGCCACAGGTCTGCATCCAGCAGCTCGGCCAGTGTCCCTGCAATGCTGGTCCAGCACGTGTCCAGCGCGCAGTGAGAACCAAGCCGGCCCTGGGTCCCGCTCGCTCATTGCGGAGGGGCGGCTGCCTGGGAAGAGCGGGTAGAAACTAGGGTCCGCCTAAGGAGAGACTGGAACAGCAGCAGAAGTCTCTTGTAAAGAGAAATAAATAGGGGTCTCACCATGCGCTAAATAGGGCAAGTCTCTTTTCATCTTCAAACAGCCTGATGAGCTATCATTATGCCCACTCATAGAGGAGAAACTGAGGCCCAGAGTGGGAGATTTCCTGCCTTCCAGCCTAGGGTCCTTTAGCTACAAATAGAAGGCAGATTCTAGCCAGCTCTAAAGTCAGGCTTGGCCAGGTGCAATGGCTCATGCCTATAATCCCAGCACTTTGGGAGGCCAAGGCGGGCGAATCACCTGAGATCAGGAGTTCAAGACCAGCCTGGCCAACATGGCAAAACCCCATCTCTACTAAAAAATACAAAATTAGCTGAGTGTGGTGGTGGGTGCCTGTAATCCAATCTACTGGAGGCTGAGGCAGGAAGAACTGCTTGAACCCTGAGGCAGAAGTTACAATGAGCCGAGATCATGCCACTGCACTCTAGCCTGGGCCACAGAGCAAGACTCCATCTTAAAAAAACAACAACCAAAAAACTCAGGCTTTCTCACCCCTCTGTTTTTAAAACACTGGGTCCCAAGTCTGAGGTAGCCACTTCACCATCTGGTCTGGGTTTCCCTGATCAAAACATGGAGGCTTTCTCTGGGTGAGCTCAGGGTTCAACACCCTTGTCCAAGCTCATCCCCAGACCTTCACAGGGAGCTGGCTTCTAGTCCTAGAATAGAGTGGTGCTTTGTAATAATTCAAGTGATTTCTCAGGGGTTGAAGGAAAAGTGTTGGAAATGGGTAGAGGGAGGATGTCTTTGGATTAGGGAGTGCCAAGCAGAAAATGATGGGCGAAGGTGACCAGAATGGAGGAAAGGGGGTGCAGCAGCCCATCCAGGCTGAAGCTCCTTTTCCTGCCCCTTCCCTTCCCTTCCAGGCCTCCTCCTTGTGGCCACCCTGGTCCTCCTGGACCACCTCAGTTTCGCCAGAAACCTCCCCGTGGCCACCCCAGACCCAGGAATATTTCTGTGCCTTCACCACTCCCAAACCCTGCTAAGGGCCATCAGCAACACCCTCCAGAAGGTGAGCTTTTCCCGTCCTTTTCACTGTGTACCTGCGCTCTCCCTGAGGAACGGGCCTCTGGTCCTATCCTCTGGCACCTGATGGAACTGCAGAGAAATTGCAGAAGTTCATTAGTAGCTGTCAACAGCAGGAGAGGGAACTTTACAAATGGCCCAAGTATTAGAGAGTCATGGTAAAATTGTGTCTCCAGAGAAAGTAAGAGTAGTAATCAATTATACTGATTGATTTTGGCTGTGTCTACACAGAGTAAAGTGGATATTTACAGTATTCCTGTAGCCTGCCAACAGAGAGAGAATTGTGTCAGGTCCACACGGTTTAACTGACACCACTGATCAATCCCAGAAATAGTTACTTGGGTGCATACTCTGTGTTGGGGGAACAGGGGGTATGAAGATGAAATAGCCTTGTCCCTCCTGCTGCCCACCAGCTTCTGCTTGGTGACACAGGTCCTCCTCGGAGCAACACATATCGGGGAGGACTGTGACAGCACACAGGTAGCCTTCATTTTCTAGGGAAGAGTTACCTAATTTTATTTACAGCTCTGTTCATTTTTTTTAGGTTTCATATTTTAATGCAAAAAACATTGCCTTTGGTGGCTCACACCTATAATCCCAGCGCTTTGGGAGGCTGAGGTTGGTGGATCACAAGGTCAAGAGATCGAGACCATCCTGGCCAACGTGGTGAAATCCCGTCTCTACTGAAAATACAAAAATTAGCTGGCCATGGTGGTGTGCACCTGTAGTCCCGGCTACTTGGGAGGCTGAGGCAGGAGAATTGCTTGAACCCGGGAGGTGGAGGTTGCAGTGAGCCGAGATTGCGCCATTGCACTCCAGCCTGGGTAACAAGAGCGAAACTCCATCTCAAAAATAAATAAATAAATAAAGATGTCCTAAGCCTGTGTGCTCTCTAGGAAATCTTTCGTGAGTATTTTCTAACTTGTTGCCTTATGAATCTTAAAATAAGCTCAATGCCAGCCAGGCGCAGTGGCTCACGCCTATAATCCCAGCACTTTGGGGAGGCCAAGGCAGGTGGATCACGAGGTCAAGAGATTGAGACCATCCTGGTCAACATGGTGAAACCCTGTCACTACTAAAAATACAAAAATTAGCTGGGCATGGTGGCACATGCCTCTAGTCCCAGCTACTCGGGAGGCTGAGGCAGGAGAATTGCTTGAACCCAGGAGGCAGAGGTTGCAGTGAGCTGAGATCGTGCCATTGCTCTCCAGCCTGGGTAACAAAAGCGAAACCCTGTCTCAAAAAAAAAACATGCTGGCAGTTATTGACAAGGTGATACAGGTAAGACTTCATTCTATCAGTGAGAGCACCTTTTTCATGCTTTTCAACCAGGATCCTC